TCACTGCCACAGAAATCTGGTCCTAGTGCTCTTCTGACTCAGTCCATAAATGGTCCACTACTTCCTCCCCCATGCTTCTGACTGTTTCCAGTATTCTCTCTCTCCCTCTGCTACATGCACCCAGCATGCCAGAAACATATCCAAATTTCTTCTGCCTTAAGCCCTTTGCACATGCTGTTCCCTCTGTCTGATCACCTTTCCTTTCTTCATCTTGGCATCAAGACTCAGCCCAAATCAGCATTTGCTTCTCTGGGGAACCCTTGCTGATCACCCACTGCCTCTACCTAGCAGAGCAAACCACCTCCAGATGCCTGTTCGGGAGGAGCGAGCCTTGTGTAAGTCCAGGCCCCCAAAGCAGCCACATGCGAGAGACCCCACGGCAAGACTACACAGAGACAGGAAGGAGTGTCTGAGGGGCCCCAACTATTCTTGACCCCAGATATTTGAGTCTTTCCAGCCCAGGAACCAGTCATGTGAAGGGGTGGCTTCAGTAATTATAGATGCCAGGCTTCAAGCTACCCAAGCTGATGCCAAGTGGGGCAGGGACATGCTGGCGGCTGCTGATCATACTGCAGATTTATGAGCAAAATGAGTGCTGTTTTAAACCACTAAGTTTTGACAGTGGTTTGTAGTATAGCGTTAGATAACCAGAACAACCACTACTGACACTTCGATATATCTTAATCTTTATCTCAATTCCTATCTTTTTCTCTATTTGCATCTATATCTTATTATACTTCCTCCACTTAACAACACATAGTAGTCACTTTTTATGTCTAGAAATAAACATCTACATTGTTTTGAATAGCTTCAAAGTATTTCATCACATGGCTTTGCCATAATTTTTATAATATACCCGATTATAGATGTTCAGTTTATTTTATTTTATTGCTACTATAAACAATGTCGTATGAATAGTCTTGAGCAGTATTTAGTGTAACTGTTAGGTAATTTCCTTAGGATAATTCCCAGGAAATGTTGGGTTGAAAGGTAAAGGCTTTGGTTCAGAGAGAAGTCCACTCATCTTCCCATATGGCTTATCCTACAAGTCTACTTGTGTCTATGCCTCCTTCTCCTTCACCACTGTTGTGGAAGAGGAAGACTGTCCACTGTTCGAAGGTCAGGTTCTTCCTCTGGATCTCATTTTTACTAATACTTGGATTAGTAGAAGACTTGGATTATTTGGTTTTCCCCTCTCAATTTCCCCCTCACCACTGGACCATTCCCATCGCATGTAACCATGCTCCAGTACCTTTCTGCTCTCTTTATCTGTGATCCTATATTACCCTCTACCACTGCCCCACATTCACCATTTGATTTTTAGGAAGTTGTTTTTATGTCAGGACTAAAGGGAGAAGCTAAATTCACAAAAAATAATGGGAAGATTTAAAAATCATACTTCTATCAGTAACTAATAAAATAAGAAGACAAATAATTTGAAAGGATATAGAGGGGCACCTGGCTGGCTCAGTTGGTAGAGCATGTGACTCTTGATCTTGCAGTCATGAATTCAAGCCCTATGTTGGGTGTAGAGATTACTTAAAATTAAAAAATAAAAAAGGAAAGTATATAGGATATTTAAGCAACCATAAAATATATATTCTTTTGAAATGCCTATGAAACATTAATAAAAGTGGGATATGTTCATCTATTAAGCAGCTCTCCCCACACCGCCTTATTTCAAAGGACTGAAATAAAATAGAGCATGGCCTTTGACCACAGGTGAATTAGGCTAAACATTAGTTTCAGAACATAACTAGAAAATCCCCAATGTTTGGAGGTTAGGCAGAACACTTTTTGGTAACCCATAGGTTAATTCAGGCATCTCAATGAAAATAATGAGATATTTTAAACTAAATGACAATAGAAATACAACATAGCAAAGCTTGTGGGATGAAACTAAAGCCACACTTTAAAAGAAATTTATAGCCATAAACATACATCAAAAAGAATAAAGGTTGAATATTAATTACCTAAGTAAAAGCATTCATTTAATGTCCAACTCAAGAGGATAAGAAGAACAACAAATTAGGAATTAGAAAGCAAAAAATAATAACATAGAAATTTCAGAAATAGATAAAAGTGAACAAATCATAGCAAAAATAAATGAAACTAAAATTAATTCCTGAAAAACACTAATAAAATTGATAAACTAAGAAACTAGTCCGGACAAAAAAGAGATGACATAAATTACCAACATTAGAGCTAAAAGGGGACCATAATTACAGATTCCATAGATGCTGGGAAGATAAAAAGAAAATATAAGGAAAAAATTTTAAGCCGATACATTTAAAAATTTAGATGAAATGGATAAATTTCTAGAAGTAGGCATCTTGCTAAAACTGACACAAGAAATCGATGATTAGAATAGTGTTATTCAAGTAATTGAATCTGTAATTCAAAGCCATTCAACAAACAAACATGGTGTTTTTTTTTTAATGTTTTATTTATTTCTAGGAGAGAGAGAGAGAGAGACAGCGTGAGCAGGGGGAGGTCAGAGAGAGAGGGAGTGACAGACTCTGAAACAGGCTCCAGGCTCTGAGCTGGCAGTCAGCACAGAGCCCGACGCGGGGCTCGAACCCACGAACCACGAGATCATGACCTAAGCGAAAGTCAGACGCTTAACCGACTAAGCCACCCAGGTGCCCCAAACAAACATGGTTTTACTGATGAGTTATCTCAAACATTTAGGGAAGAGATAAACACCATCGAATGCCACTTGTACCAAACTATAAAAAAGAGTGGAGGGTAGAGAGTTCCAGCTTGCTTTATGAGGACAGCTTAATTTTGATACCAAAATCTGACAAGAATTCTGCAAGAAAGGAAAATTACAGGCCAATCTCATAAACACAGATAAAACATCTTAAAGAAAATATTAGCAAATTGAACCCAGTGCTGTGTAAAGGTAACACAGCATAATCAAATTAGGCTCAATCCAGGAATAAGTGGTTGGTGTAACACTAAAAGTCAACAGTGTAATTCACCACATTATCTCAGTAAAGGAGAAAAATCACATTATCATCTCAATCAATCAAAATGACCTGTTCTAGGCTTTCAAAGAGACGCAAGTGCTAACGCAGCAAGGGCAACGGTCAATCCTTCCTGGTGGCATCTGCCAAAGTGGGAACAGCAACCTTCACTTCAGTAGCGATCTGGTTTCCTTTCTAATTGGATCTAATCAACAGCCTGATTTGGGTCTTGATTCTGGCCAGCTTTCGTCCCTTGCCCTCTTTTGGATCCTGGTTCCCCAATCTGCCCAGTGATTCTATATGCGATTCGGTGGTCTTTCAGTTCTGCTACATGTAATTAAGAACTCGGCTAACAAAGGAGGACAGAAGCTGGGTCATTCTGAACTTTTCTTGGTCTGGCTTTTCTGCTACCACCAGCTTGCCTTTTATTGTATTATAAAAGTAATACAAATAAGGTAAAATCACAATCTGATTTAGAGTACTCACAAGCCCGGTGGTAGCGAGGCAGGCGTGGGTGGAAGAGGGAAGATGGAAGACAGCATGGAATTTGCTCCAGCAATGAGGGCTATGTGTACACATGGGACGGGAATGGGATTCTTAGGAGAACAGAGAAAGCCATGTTTCATGCCCCCAGGTAGCACAATTAACCAAGTCAGGCTGCAGAGAACAGGTGACAATTGATAAGCTAAATCTTAATGCAGGAAAGTCTAATTTTCCTGGGTGGGTGGAGAGGGGAAGGATGTTCCAGTTGTGGGAGTGGCATGGACAAAGACATGCGGGCTTGAGAAAGTCGTGTTCATGGGAATGAGGATGTTGTGGATGATTGAAGGGCCAGGATGCAGGATGGACAGGTGGGAGACGACCCTGGAAAGAGGGTGAGCGAGGCCAGCTGAGAAAAGTTCAGTGCTTACAGTTTAGGAGCTTACATTTTTCCTGTGCCCAGAAGGGAAGGTTTGTGGAATACAAAGCCAATGTCACCAATCAGAATTTCTTAAGGGAATGTTGGAGTCCGAAAGAACATCTGACTGGGAATAAAGAAAGCTCCTGTGATTGGCAGATTAAAACAAGCACCTTGAAAAATATAAGAATTAAAAAAAAAAACCAAAAACAAGCGCCTTGATTTGAAGTTCTGTTTAGTTCCAACACTCCTCTCACCCCATGATTCTTAGTTTTTTCTACTTCTTTACTCCAGGTTAAGGTAGAGGCCACCGGGAAAGTACTTCAGCTGCTCTTTATAGAGCAGCTGCTTCCTGCTTCCCATTAATACTCAAAGGTTAACAGCACCTTTTCCTTGGGGGTTTGGGGCACAGGAGGGAGCCTGCTCTGGACTAGGCCCCAGGAGGGGCAGTGCAACTTGACTTTGCACCCCCAAGAAGGGGTGAGTGGCTCCTGGGCCTCAGGTGAGTGACTCCTGACCTTCTCTGCTCCCCCCTCGAGCCCCTGCGCCTTTCCACTACTCCCCCCACCTCCCACCCGCACCCCTAACCTGGAACAGAGGGATTGTGATTCCCCATGACATCTTCACTGCAGTTTCCAAAGGATGGGGAAATCTGAGGCATTACAGACGTAGCTCCCCTTTGCGGTGATATTTACCTCCAAATGCGAACGAGGCAGATGCTAGTCCAAGCACGTTCACAAGCAACTTCACCGTCTCCTCAACGACCTCAGCAGGTGCTCCAGGCCTGCCCCACACCTGGGTGCTAAGCCGCCTGCTCGTCCTACCTGGAGACCTAACACCATCCTTAATTAAGTTCTTTCCTGATGGCTGCCAGGTGCGCCCTTCAGCGGAACAGTGTTAATTCCAGCCTCCGGGGGCAGAGATCCAGCCCCCTTTCCGGGCACATCTGCTCTTGCGCTAGCCCCTACCTAGAATCCCCCCTCCAGCGCCCCATGGCCCCCCTTCTCATGGTCGGGGGAGTTGCTGGTTACGCTGCCAGGAAGTTCACGTCGGTTGCCCACCCGGGCGAGCCCCGCAGGTATATAAGGACGGAGGAGAGCGACCCAGGCCAGGCGGCGGCGAGCGAGGAGAAAGGACGGAAGAAAAGTGACCTAGCGAGGCCGAGGAGCCCGGCGCAGCGGGAGTCGCCCAGAGCGCAGCCTCTCCACTACAGGTAAGGGCGCAGCGGCGCAGAGCCTACCTCTTACCCCGGAGCCCCCGGCCCCGGGGCCTCGGGATGCTCTCTCCCGGCTCCGATCGCTGACTTGAGGCTCCCCAGGTTCGTTGCGGCCCTGAGTTTCCTGAAAACTTTCTGTACTAGGTGCGGCGTGGGAAGCCGCCCAAAGAGGGGGCCAGCCTTCGGCTGCTGGGCGAACGGCTGCGACGAGGAAAGCAGTGCCTCCCAGGAGCCTGCTGCCGCGCCTTCTCCGGGGAGTCGGGCTGCTAGGACCCCTGAGTCTCCTACAACCTTCTGGGGGAGATCTCGGGAAAGCCCGGTCTTTTGGCTCCTCTTCCTCCCGGATTTTCTTGGGTAGATGTCACTTCTTAAAAGATACCATACACTGCAACGCAAATTAACGTTGGGCATGGGAGCAGGAGAGTAATGGCTAAAAGTTACAATAAACTCTCTGCATTCCGGTCTTCTTTGGATTCAGACCCCTGATCCTCCTTTCCCTGCTCACCTTAGCGCATACAATGTGGCTAAGCTCCGATCAAGACACGGTCTCCTCTAGGAGACCCAGCTGGGGTTAAAAAGACGGGTCCCGTGTGGGAACTGTCCGAGGTTCTGAACCACCCTATGTGTGCCCTCAATAGGACCTCAGAGTGAATCTCCCAGCCCGAAGACCCCAGACTGAAGGGTGGAAGCAGCCCTTTGAGCTGATGGAGGCTCAGGCAAAGGAGGTTTCCCGTGAAAGAGGGAGAGTCTGCAGGAAATTTGAATCCCCCAAATTCTTCATGTATAAATGGGGAGGTGGTGGTTCTCACAGAATTGCTGGAAGCAGCCAAGGAAAGTACAAGCATGCATTTATTTTGTCCATTGTGAAGATATGCCCAGATTACACCTTATTGAATGGTTTACTATTCCGTTGACACTTTGTTTTGGGACTTGATGCATGTGTATAATGGTGAAAGGAGAAAACTCTGCATCTCTGCTTTTCTAATCTTTACAGAAGGGCATGACCACTGTGCAGTTTTAGACTGACAAACACAACGCTTTGTTTAGCTCAAAGAGCATTCATCTACACATATGAAATTCTAATAAGTATAGTTCAATTAAAAAGTTAATGCCGATATTAGTAAATTACAAATTTCTATTTATTTTTCCAAGGCTTTCAACTATTGTATTATATATACCACTCTCCTTACCTACAAAAAGCACAGTATTTGATGTCTCCCCATTGCTTTACTGCTTGTAAAAAAAATAACATGAGGTAATATTTGTTCATTGTAGAAAACAGAAAATACACATAAGTAGAAAGAAAACAAATTGCTTTCAGGAAACTAACTTTTTAGCAGTAGGATGGGACTCTGACAGGGTGGGCAGTGAGAATATTCCCATGTTGTACAACACAGATAGCCAGTGGGTCCGAGAGAGAGAGAAATGCTCTCTGGGGCTTTTCAGGTAGGCCTGAAATCATGAGGTAAGTTTTTAGAAAATGAAAATCATCCTGAATGACCAACCTTGAGAATTGAAGTCTAGTTGAGGGGACTGCAAGATCTGTATGATTTTACTTCTTTCTTCACAAATGTGTTATTCTACACTTGCCCATAGTGATATGTAATTACAATTTTTTTTAAAAAAATTAATGTATATTTATTTTTGAGAGAGAGAGAAAGGGGCAGAGAGAGAGAAGGAGACACAGAATCTGAAGCAGGATCCAGGCTCTGAGCTGTCAGCACAGATCCCAATGTGGGGCTTGAACCCATGAACTGTGAGATCATAACCTGAGCTGAAGTCAGATGCTCAACTGACTGAACCACCCAGGTGCCCCTGTAATTAACATTTTTCTGCTTCTCTTATAAATCGTGGCATATTTCTGACCCCACTGTGTTGTGTGGTCTCAGAGATTTAATATACATGGTCTTGCCCACCCACTTTGGGCTCCATTTTTGAACTACAGCATCAAAATGCTACAACAGGAGCAAGATGTTCCTGGTCAAGACTGGACACCAAGGCGGATCAATTCTCTCCCAGTTGCCCCTTTGGCCTGAGGTGCTGATGGACCGGCTCACTGGCTGCCAGCGCCATCTAATGGCTACTCTGAAAACACTCCAGTAGTGCCTGGCAATCGTTCAGGAAGGGAGCCCGGAGCTGGCTCAGATTTGGGGGAGAGGAATGGGGGTGGGGCAAAGAAAAGGAAATGGTTTTCTAAAGTAGATAATGAGAGCCAGAGAGAACTTTCATTTCCAAAACTTTCTCTATTAAAAAAAAAAAAAAACAACAACAACCTTGGCCACCCCTCCACAAATGAGAGGTTTCTTTTAGGCAAACATTTTTAAAATGCAAATGTCCATTAGGAGAGATAAGAAAATTAGTCATCCACACCTTAATGTGAATTACTTTTCTCATTTAACGAGGTTTCTTTCTACAGCTGTTTGAAGAGATCTTCTGAAGTCCAAAATGATTGTGGGTTGGTGGTGAGCTAGTGACAAAACTTGGGGTCAACTCTGGAAGCTGATTTGGGTGCAGGGGTGGGGGGGCGGGGACATGTAGTGGCAGAGCTGGAGGGCTGGTGAAAGTGTTGGGCACAGGGGGCAAAAGGGGGCTTTACTGCTCTTCTCTTTACTGCCTCCTGACCTCTTGACTTCAGCATCTGCCCAGGTACTTTCTGACTTCTCCGAAAGTGTCTTTGGTGGGTGCTCACGATGGGGGGTGGGTAGTTCCCTTCTGCTTTGTGTGTCTATCTTCTTCCCTTCTACATTTATAGCATCTTCAAGTCACCTATTTCAGACTACATCTGAGAGGCTCTGAGAACAAGACAAGTTCTGATATGTAGCATATTCAGAAAATGAGCCAGTTTTAAAAGAATGGGAGTCTGCTTTAATAATAAACCTCAAAGCTGCAGGAATCTAAGAAATAGTGACCATCTCAGTGATTTGTGCACAAAACATCAGATTAGGTAAGCTGAAGTTTTGGCCAAATTGGCCAGAGGTTTTATTTGCCTTTATGCAAACCTATTATTTTTAGGAAACCACATCTGAAGAATAATAGGATCCTGGTAGAGGAGGAGGGGAATAGACCATCTTGAGCAGGAATTTCAGAATTCCTTTGTCTTTCCCAAGTTACTCCTTGAATCTGGCATGTTGGAACTGGGGTTTCATGAAGATGGTGAAGTATTAAAGTTCAGGGAAACAGGAGAACTTAGCCTTGCCTTGTCATGAACACCCAAATTATTATCTCTCTCTGGTCCTCCCTTTCCTCATCTCTCAAATAAAGGGCCGGACCAAATGATCTCTAAAATAGCTTCCAGCCCTAACCTCCTTTGGGATCTGATTTTAATTGGAGACAAAGGGGGAAACTGCACATAGATTACCCAGGCCCTGCTCCCCTCCTCTCCACCACAACTCATACCAAACTTCTCCTTGAACTGCTCCTGTCCTCAAAAAGCCTTGAGCTCCACAAGTGAATGTGTTGTTAATATTGGCTCACAGTCCTTCCTGGTCAGTGGCCAACATTGTTCTGCTCCTTGTAGGGGGTCCCACCAATCTTATTTGCCTCTGCAGAGCCTCAGCCTGCCTGGAAGATGCCGAGATCGTGCTGCAGCCACCCAGGGGCCCTACTGCTGGCCTTGCTGCTTCAGGCCTCCATGGAAGTGAGTGGCTGGTGCCTGGAGAGCAGCCAGTGTCAGGACCTCACCACGGAAAGTAACCTGCTGGTATGTGGGCTATGGCCGCCATCTTGGTTTGGGCATCAGATGGGACTGGGGTGGGGACTGGGAAAGCACAAAAGAAAGGGGGCAGGGGAAGGAGAAATTCATTCCCAGAGATATGGGTAACTCAGCGCAGGGCAGGGGACTGAAGTCAGAATTGAGCCAAGGAGGGGAAGAAGCAGATTTGGGAAGATGGGTCTGCTCCACAATTTCTACTTATCTTACTACCCTGTCTTCTTATATAAAGACCCCATTCCATTTAAGCTATTTAGAGATATCACCATTAAAATAATAACAGTGATAGTAACAGTAATAATCATTGTTCCCTCTACTGTTTTATTCTATTCTTTTAGACTTTTTATTCCTTTTTAAATAACCTTGTGTCACATGCCATTTTCATTCCCTTTTAATCTACTATTAACTACAAAGGCAGCTTGGTAGTACTGCAAATCATCTCCAGAGGGAGAAGGAAAACCCAGGTGCCATTGTTCTCTGACTTGTGCTAGATGTCTCATGATTCTTCTGGAGGACTGATCTTCCACGACCTTTCCAGAAGCATGTAAAGGCCTTTTATGCCAGGCTGGAAGTGTGTGTGTGTGTGTGTGTGTGTGTGTGTGTGTGTGTGTGTGTACTGGGAGGCACAAATGAGAAATTATACCAAGTCAAGGACTAAAAGACACATTGCTAGTGTCAGTGACTGAGTTCGACCCTGCTGCCAGCACCTGCCTGGGGAGAGTGGACTATATATCACTACATTCAGTGTGTTTTGTTAATGGAGAGCTAGTAAAGGTGAAGAGAGAGAACTAAAAAACGCAGGGCTGGTTGCATGTACAATATAAAATAGAGCAACCCCAGGGAAGTCTGTGAGTCCTAGTTCAGAGAGAGACCCAAGAGACTCTTGATGGGAGACACCCACTGCACAGCCTCTCCCGTTGAGAACCCACCAGAGAAGGAGCACTGACCATGGTCACAGCCCATGGGTTCTAGCCCTGGCTCTGCCACTGAGGAGTTGTGGAAACTTACCAAGCTCCTTTCATGTCCCTGAGCCTCCTGCTTTGTTATACGTTCAGGGGGTGAGGAATGTGAGATAGTTTTTACTTTCCACTGTTAATATTCTGCAGTGTCATAATTCTAAATTTGTAATTCTGGAGTATGAAATTCCCAACTCGACAGAGTGGACAGGATCATTCTGTTTCCTCCTTTGCAGTCCCATGTAACTGAAAACTCAAGGCTGGAGCCTGTAGGTCATTTTCCCAAGCAAATGCGTACCATCCTCCAGAGATGCTTACAGAGAGCAGAGACATAGGCTCCATGACCCACGCAATGGAAACAATCCTGGCTGTTTACCCCTCCCTCCAGTCAGAATGAGGTGACAGGGAAGTGACCCACTCCCTCCCAAAGCTCACTGATTGGGGAAAGTGCAGGATCTGTTCAAAAGACTTGAGGGGAAAAAACCCCACAAAAAAGTGCCAGATGGCATGGGAAAATATTTGAGGCATGTACAAGGGAGATGGCTGGGGTAGGGCATGAGTTAGGCTTGCAGATTCCTGGGCTAAAGTTGAGGCATTATTGAAAACACAGGCTCTGGAGGCCAGATTTCTCCCACCTGAATAGATTCTACCCCCACTTTCAGCCCAATGCCCCTCCCAGATGCGAACTGAACCAATTTATTCAATATTCATTAAATGCCAATAACTACCACCCATTTACCATTTATTGATCAATTCCTATATATCACGCATAGAATAGTAAGGAGCCGACCCTATTCACAAAAGCTCGCGATAAGTAAACCACAGAGCGGGATGGGGCATTGGTTGTGGCTGTGAGGCAGAAGAGCCAAGGGGCCTAGGGGACAAAAGAGGAGATGCCTCAGCCGAGTCCGCTGTCCATGGGCGCCGAGAGGTCAGGTCCTGGCCAGGAGGCCACGGCTGCCCAAGCCTTATCCCGCTCCCGGACCACACGTGCCCAGGGCGTCGGGCTCCGCGCGGGGGGGCCGGGCTGCAGGACAGCGCGGCCCTAACCCCCCACCCCCACCCCGCGCGCTCGCGGCCCTCCCCGCAGGCGTGCATCCGGGCGTGCAAGCCGGACCTCTCGGCCGAGACGCCCGTGCTCCCTGGCAACGGCGACGAGCAGCCGCTGACCGAGAACCCCCGGAAGTACGTCATGGGCCACTTCCGCTGGGACCGGTTTGGCCGCCGCAATGGCAGCGCGGGCCAGAAGCGTGAGGAAGAGGTCGCGGCGGGCGAAGGCCGCGCCCCTCTGCCCGAGGGCGGCCCCGGGCCCCGCGGCGATGGCGAGGAGCTGGGCCTGCGCGAGGGCAAGCGCTCCTACTCCATGGAGCACTTCCGCTGGGGCAAGCCCGTGGGCAAGAAGCGACGCCCCGTGAAAGTGTACCCCAATGGCGCCGAGGACCAGTCGGCTGAGACCTTCCCCCTCGAGTTCAAGAGGGAGCTGGCCGGGGAGCGGCCGGAGCCGGTGCTCGGCCCCGAAGGCCCCGCGGCCTTGGCCGACCTGGAGTACGGCCTGGAGTACGGCCTGGCGGCAGAGGCCCAGGTGGCCGAGAAGAAGGACGAAGGGCCCTATAAGATGGAGCACTTTCGCTGGGGCAGCCCGCCCAAGGACAAGCGCTACGGCGGCTTCATGACCTCGGAGAAGAGCCAGACGCCTCTGGTGACGCTGTTCAAAAACGCCATCATCAAGAACGCCCACAAGAAGGGCCAGTGACGCGCAGCGGGCCAGAGGCTTCTCTTCCCAGAAGTGGACCCGAAGGCCCCCTCTCCGCCCCTGCCTCCTCCTGCGGCCTCCCAGCCTGGGTGTGCTACTCGCTCAGGCAGTGAGAGCCCCTGATAGTCAGCCTCTGAAAGCTGTCTGTAGTTAGGAAATAAAACCTTTCAAGTTTCACATCTGACTCTGACTTTGAATGTCCATTGGGTGAATGAAATAAAAATACATAATCCATCAAAAAAATACATATATATATATATATATAGGAGAAACAGTGGTTGCCGTGTGGCCACGTGGTAGTACATTTTATAGGTCATAGTGGGAATGAAAAGAAAATGCTCACTGCCCCCCCGACCCCCCGCGGTTGGTCTTAAAGGGAAGGGTGCGGGGTCTCCCCAGCTCCCCTCTATTAAAGAACAAACACTAAGTAAATCTGAAGGTCTCATTGCTTTTATTATTTTTTTTTTAAATATTTTTATTTCTAGGAGAGAGAGAGAGAGAGACAGCGTGAGCAGGGGAGGGTCAGAGAGAGAGGGAGACACAGAACCTGAAGCAGGCTCCAGGCTCTGAGCTGGCCGTCAGCACAGAGCCCAACGCGGGGCTCGAACCCACGAACGGCGAGATCATTAGCTAAGCGAAAGTCGGACGCTTAACCGACTAAGACACCCAGGCGCCCCCTCATTGCTTTTATTAAGTGATTCATGAGTCTGGTAGCATCCTGTCTAGTATGTAGAGCAAAGCTTAGGGGAATTATATAGGATGGAAGGTTTTTGAATTTTTTGCTTTTATTTTTATTAATTTTGAGAGTATGAGCCAGGGAGGGGGAAGAGGGAGACAGGGAGAGAGAGAGAATCCCAATCAGGTTCCGCTGCCTGCACGGAGCTTGCCTAGAGACTAGATCTCACAAACAGGGAGATTATGATCTGAGCAGAAATCAGGAGCTGGATGCTTGACTGACTGAACCTCCCAGGTACCACAAGATGGAAGGTTATTATAGGAAGGAGGGTTGGGCAAGAAAGTTACTAGCAAAAGAAAGGATTGTTCCAGACAAGGTCTTTCCTTAGAAAAGCAGGAGGTCTTATGCTGATCACCTAATCTTTGGAGTGGGAGGGGGCCTGTGCACGCGCCTACACAGGGCCTATGAAAAGGGCCCATGCAAAGGACTTGTGTGATAGATTATCTTACTGGTGCTTATCAGGAAATTCCTGATTAAGGAATTAGACTTACATTTCTAGGGGAGGTTGAAACTGCAATTAAGTAAGGTATTAAGTCCTGGTGACTTGGCCTAAGTGGTGCCATTTTAGGTCTGTGGTTCTCTTTTTAACACCTCTGAGAGCAAGTCCAACATTGGTTGAAGCTCATTGCAACTGGGGCCTGTGGGCTGTGGGTGGGAAGCTACAGTAAGGCCTCCCTGGATCTAGCTATCTGTGTGACCTCAGGCAAGTCTCTAAACTTCTCCCAAGATGTAGTTCTCTCATCAGCCACACCTCCCTTCCTAGTGTGGGGGCTATTATAGGTTTAATGAGAATATGGACGTGATCTTTTTATCACTGAGAAGCTACATGTGACAGCTGAGGGTTGGTAACGGTTAGATTGGACTGCACTTCCAGGCTACTCACAAATATTCTCAAACACTTGTTCTCACCTACGTAGACACGCATAAATACAATACACACAGATGCTTCTTCCAGTCCCTCAGGCTCAAGTCTTCACGTCTCTTTTTCCTCTAGCAACTCCCAAAATCCTCACCATATTGCTAGCTACAGCCTTTCTCATTATTCTCAGTGCTCAGCCTTGATCATCCAACAGCTTCCTAACTAACTGGTGTCCTTTACTTCAGTCCCTCTCCTCCCCAACCTATCATACACAAGTTCTTCCTATTAATGTATATAAAATCTCATTTTCCTCACATTCCCTGGTTCAAGACCCATTGCATCAACGTCAGATTCTGGGCCATGGCATGCAGGACCTTGTCCATTTTCCTCCCTCTCCTTACCAAACTGTATTTCCCGTGTTTCCACCTACTGATCTTCTCTTTTCCTTTCCTCCTTCACCCTCTGCCTCAGCTCTCCACCTTCCCCCACCGTTTTGAAACTCTTTTTAAGACATGAGCCTGGGCTTGAGTCCAATCCTGCTGGGAAAGTTGTGATCTCTTCCAGCTGAGCCTCCTCATTCTCAGCACCGGAGGGCACACAGACCAGCTCGAAAGGCAAGTTTCTAGCCGCACGGATGTCTTGTGTTCTCCTTAGGGAAACTCTAAGCTCCAAAGGGCAGAAGCCAGGGGTTGTGTTTCTTTTATATGTCGTCATGGTGTTTGTCCCATGCTGAGGCCATGGATTTACAGCCACACACATTTACAGTTCACAAGAAACTCATAGATGCTTATATACACACAGAGATGCAAACATACACGTCAATTACATTAGGCATACCAGTGGATGGCATACATTAAATCCAGCTGGGAAATATTTGTGTATGGAACCTGCACATATACCCCCATATTTTGATGCTCTAAAAGTTCATAATTAAGGAAAACTGTATGCACCCCAGGAAATCTTGTGTAAAGGGAATTGGAAAGCCATATTCTTAAGATAAAGTTTCCCCCACTGTGGGTTATACTATGGGACTAGAGTCTAGTCACTGTGATGAAGAAATGGCCCAGGCTTTCCCATCTGAAGATGCTCCCATGCTGGGAATTCTGAGCTTCATGTTTACATCCTGGTAGCATCCTCTCCCCCACTCCTCTTCCTTTTTAGGTGAGTAAAGTATGATAGGTGGAGGTGGCTAAATGTCAATAGTTAATGTTGGTATTTTCAGATTGTTTGCAATCCCCCCAAAATCATTTACTTTAAAGAAATCAAATAGACAACCATGTGGTGACAACATTAACATTTATTTGAAAAGGGCATCCCGAAGACTCACTGAGAAACCATGACTAATAATCCTAAAGAATGATCTTGCTAATAGTCCTTCTTCCTACACCCCCCCAACCCAATCTTCTTTCCCCTTCCTTAAAATAAAACTAATTTGATTCAATGAGTTTAAAATACAGAACACTGCCACAGGCACTAATTCTGCACTCCCATATAAATAATTCAGCTGTTATGTACATATATGGTCAACTATGAACTACATTACACACACGTGTGCAGGTGGGCACGTAACACTCTCAGCCAGGTCATGAAGGTCTACATGGATGCAGACACGTTACAATATGTGTAATGCTGCAGCATTTGTGGATTTACCGCTCTGCACTCCACAGGTCAGAACTGACATTCATGGAGGAAGAGCTCAGAAGGGGAAGGTGACGGTCCGAGGCCCCAAGGTCCTCCAAAGGAGAAAAGACCTGGTCAACCCCGCCGATGTTAAAGGAGAGCACAGAAAACTGCCTTCGGACCCCAACAGGCCACAGAGCTCACAGTCCCTGTCTCCTCCCCACTTCCCCGGCTGGCCAGGCCGTGTGACCAGCCTTCCACAATCTTCAGACCTTGGGTCACTCTAACCAGATTTCTAGGGGATGAAGAAGCAGTACATGGCCCAAAATCTCCTCAGACACCAGGAAGATGCCTTGTTTCGGCAAGATCTGCCTGCCAGGGTCTGTGGGTTAGGGGAAGCAGCATGACCTACTCTGATGAGGTGTCCTCCCTGTCTGCCTTTAAACTTCATACTCAGCCTTACACACAGGTCTAGTCCTTTCACACAGACCCCCATGGGCCGGCTGCCATTTTATGGTCACAGAGAAGGATTGGGAGAAATGGCCTCACTTCCCAGCGACACTTTCTGTGCCCAGGTCAGAAGGCCTGGGGACCACACAATAGCAACCGGAAGCTATCATGACCCAGGGGCCCCCAAAGCAGCCCAGAGGTCTGGCCTTTGAGCTGTTTAATGGTACCCCAAGACTGCTGTGATTCTCAGGCCAACTGAAACATGTCCCAGGGGACCCAGAACACCCAGGGCAAAGGGCAGAATGTATACGATCCTCATACTTCTCAAGCACTGTGGATGGTCCCAGCCCCACCTTTTCACTGTTCATCCGTTTAGACTTGTCTAGGAGGCTGGACAGAGGACAGCATCTGAGTGAGGGCTTTTTCAGTTCTTCTCACCTGCTTGGGCTCCTTCTTTGGTAAGGAGGCATCTAGGAGTCAAGAAACCACTTATCTCTACTTTTCAGAGAGAGGAAAATGGGAACAGGTGCAGGGCACTGGGGCCTCCACTGCAAGGGAAGGAAGGGGCCTCTGGCATCATATTGGTACTTTCTGCGACCAGCTTCTTACCCGCTTACATGACTCAACCACATTAATAGAACTTCCAAATCTCAAATGCATTCATGCCTCAAGTTCTGCTAACAGAATGCTAACCAAACCTACCGCTTGGCCGTGAAGCAAGAATCCTCAGGGGCTCTGGGGAGCAGCTGGTTTGGATGGGCTTGCTGGCTCACAATCAAAACAGAGACAGTTGGCAAAAAAAAGGGTCGGTCATGTGACAAAGGGCTGCCAGACGCCAGAGGGCTTGGAAGGCAGTAAGCAGTGATTCTAAGCCAAGGGTCAGGGAACACCCCCCCACACACACACACACACTCTGTTTGCTTCTCTCCTTGGGCTTGTGGGAAGGGGCTGTGTGTGTGTGTGTGTGTGTGAAGGACACTGCTGAGTTGACCAAGTAGTTGTCTGTTTGAGTTAACAGTCACCTTACACTTTCTGACTCTGAGGCATATTTGGCTAGAATCTAGGTTCTACTTCATGTCAGCAGGCAATCCAATATTCTACTCAGTGTAAGTTTATAAACTGAAACCAAGAAGAGAGCATTCAGGAAATGGCGAGTTCTCCAAAAGAAGCACATCTTTGCTAAGCAGCTGTGATGTAAAGAAAGAGCTGCTTCAGACAGATACAGGGTCAAGTGTAGGAAAAATGGGAGCCCTGTACCTTTTTCTTCACTCTGTTCCCAGGCTGGGGGAGGAGGGAGGCATCTGAGTGGGCCAACTGAGCTCTGGTTGTGGTGGCTCTAGAAAGAGGCTCCAGGGCCACGATGCCCATGCCCCAGGACCCCAAAGGGCAGTATTTGGGGCTCAGTTGTCATGGGGTAGACCCTAAAGTCAAGTAGACATGAGAAAGAAACCAGGTTTCTCATCAAAGCCAAGTAGGGGATAAAGATGGAAAGATCTGGTAAGGGAAGACATGTTTGTGGCTCAAGATTGAGATTTTTCTCTCAAGTTTCTTCCAAAGGTTATTTGCCTTCAAATTTTATTTTAAATGTTGTTTCCTAAGAACGAGATAGTAAGGTAAAGAGAAATCTAAGTTCATGCTTACAAATTTGGGTTGAGCGTTAGCCAAGAGCCACAGAACTGATCCAAAAGCTGCAGGGGTGGGGCGCGGGTGGGGGACAGGAGTCAGGCTCCTTGGGCCTTGTAATCATGCAGGCTGTCTGGAAGCCACAGGCCCACAGCACAGAGGCACCGACCAAGGGTAGAAACTATGGGAACGAGAGTCAGATAGCCACCCCCCTCCACTGAAAACATTGACTGCACATGTAATGGGAAAGTGCATACGTTAAGGTTTTCCCAGTTTGGGAAAATATACCAATTTGTCCTAATAATCAGGCTTTCATTATGTGTCTGTGTAGGACTGTGCACACAGGTGTAAGCAGAGAGTGTCCCAAGAAGCTTGCCCTCCCCTTAGCAGAAACGTCTGGCTTCTGACCCTCCCCACACTGCCTAACATTGTACCCTATAAAGGGTTTCCTTCGAGCCAAGAAATCTACTCACGCTCCCTCTTTTTAAAAAACAAATTCTCCAGGGAGGGATCTTCTGACCATTCACACCTTACTGGGAGTTACATCAGCTCAGAAAAGTTAGGGGAGGTTTGCCTGGAAGAGGAGAAAAGGGCTATTTTGGACCTTGGGGTTCTGCCACTGGAGGAGGCCCCAGGCGGGACGATGGGTGGGGGTGGCCAGGAGAGCAGACAGGCCGTGCAGCCCTTCCTCGGCACACAGATGGCACTCGGGGAAAATGGAAACCCAGACCCCAAAGGGGTCTCCACTGCCTCTCCCCAAGCCGGAAGGTTTGCCAACTGGCAGTGATGTCCTGACTTTGTCCAAAGAGTGGAGAGATCATTCCAGTGTTAGGTGCCGGATCCTTCTTTCCTTGCATGAAATATCCACAAGGTTGACTTCTGACATCCTTGAGGTGCAAAGCGCTGCTCCTCATAACCCCTCTCCCCCACCCCTTCCGCAGACCAGGCTGGGAGCTTCTCCCAAAGGAAGTGATGTGGGCAGGCCTGGGGGCCCTTGCGGTTTGTCTGGCGCCATGCAGAACCAGATTACCTCATTCTGCCCTCTCTCAAGCCAGAGGCTGTAGAAACATGCTAGGATCCTCAGGAAGAAAGGCATCAAAGAGAGAAGGCTCAATGCAGAGAAGCATCCGGAAGGGAGAGAACCACAGGTGGACCCAACAAGCTCCCTCTGAACGAAGGGGGTGAGAAGATGCCACAGAGGGACGTGGCCTTGCTGACTTCTGCCCTCTCCTCTACAGGGGGTGGGCCCAGCCTGGGGACAGCCAGCCCTCTCTACAAGCCGGTGCCCGCCCTTCACTTTAGCCCTTCGCTGCCCCACGTGATGTTCCTACTGCAGCTCCTCGTGTAAGGGCTCAGGGTGAACTAATACTAGAAAGATTCACAGGGATACAACTGGTGTGGTGAGCAGGAGAGTTGAAGAGACACCAAGAGGCTAGAGGCCTCCTGGCTGAGAGGAGGGAATATTCTAGGGGAGAGCAGCCATCTTCCAGCCTCGTGTGCTACTGCTTTCCAGGAGGAGCTAGTAGCTCTGCCCTGCTTCCTCTGACTGGCCGTGTCTCTGTCTAGTTCCCTCCTGGGGACTGGTGGCTCTGCCCCCCAGCCCCAGCCCCATGAAAGCCCTGTGTGCTACGCCCGACTCCAGCCTCCCTCTGAAGACCCTCCGGGCTCCTGGCTGACACTAAGGAGGAAACAAAGGGCAGGTGGGAGGCTGATTGGCCCCAGAGGGGCAGGGGGCTGATCTCCCTCAGGGAAGACAAGGAGGAAGTGGGAGGGCCCGACACTACATTTTGTTTAGCTGGGGAGGTGCTTGCCAACCAAGGTGCTTTTTCTCTGAGATCCCAGTTTGATTCCCAGGTCCCGGGGTGGGTTGTGAGGGCGAGCCCCTCCCTCAGACCCCACCCCTCTGAGGAGCTCCGTCTTTTGGAATTCAGTATACTCAGTATACGCACAGATCCGGAAACTTCATCTCGTAGACTGGGATGGAGTGGTTCTGAGGCTGGCCGTAGGCTGCGGTGATGGTGCCTGATGGGCTCGGCGGGGGGCTGAGGCAGGGACACGGAGGAGAGAGGCATGAGAAGGGGGTTCATGTCGCGACCCATGCAGTCAAAAAGAGGAGCTGGTTTGGGTTTTTCTTTGAACAGGGACCAGAGACCGTCACTCCATGGGTTCCTAGGTTTCGAGTTCTAGAATCTAGCTTGAAGTCTAGTTTCCCTGCAGGCTTTTTACAGTGGCATTATTGCTTTAGAAAGCACCAGCCTAAAGCCCTGGAACCCCTGGCTCTTTTTGGGGTTCACTGAGCTGTCTCTTTCTCCCTCCAGTCTTGATTTCCTTGGCCGGGAGAGTTGGTGGCTGACTCCAGCCCTGGAGACAGAGGCTGCAGGCAGGGAGGCCTGGAGACACGTGTGAGAGGGAGGACTCGGGAGGAGGGGGTCCCTGCCCAGGGCCGCCACTTACCGGATGGTGATTTCAAAGATCTGATTGAGTTTGCTCTGCAGCAGCGATGCCTAGACACAGACAGACGGAAGTGAGCTGGGGGCTCCCCCACACCTACGCCGGCTCTCGTGAGCCCAGCCGCCCAGAGTCCAGGCTTAGGGAGGGAAGCTGTGTGAGCTCATTGACAGCACTTGGGTGTGGCCCCTGGCCGTGGGTTCAGATCAGGGAGGGCCACCCCACAAAAGCACAGAGGCCAGGACCCTCAGGAGGACCTCGGCAGGCAGTCCTTTAAGGGGCTCGGTTCCTGCGAGTGGGGCAGTAAGGCCTTGTGGGCACAGAATCAGGAGGCTCAGAGCTGGTTTCAGACTTCCCCTTAACTCCCCAGGAGCAGCTGCGCACAACCGGTGGGTTAGGAAGGATGCGCCCTCCGGTCCCTTCCGGCTCCAACTGTGCCCACATGCACAAACAGTGAGAATGGGCCTCAGCTTGGAGCTCATGAATGAGCAGCACCTGCTCTGGAGATGGGCCATGAGGTTAGAATAACATAGGGCCAGGAAAATCTATATGTATCTACATGTACTATGTATTATGTTATTATCATGTATCAGGATATACCAGAAATATACAATACACTATATGTAATAGAAAATAACATGTATATTTACTGAGAGGGAAAAAGACAATAAAATAGAAGTTATTGGCGGATTTTGGATGTTTATGATCCTGTTTCATTGTCACTAACATGGCCACCGTGACTAACAGATCCTGACCTATAATCTGTTTCGAGAAATGTCTGTGCTCTTCCCTTAAGTACAGAAATAGACACGAGTCCTTCTTTTTACTTATCTGGAATCTTCTCTTTCAAATCTCTTTTCCAGGGCCAGGCTGTTGCCCTTCCCCTGATGGGGTCCCCTGGTTGGAAGCAGAACTCTGTGTTGCAAATGTTGGCCATCTTTCCTTCCCCCACCACTCCGTAACGAGGTGAGCACAAAGGCACCAACCTCGCAGAGTTGACGTGACGATGTCATAAGCTAATAAATGTCAGAAGCTCTGACGTGTATCTAGGTGCTAGTTGCCTACTTGCTATTACAAGTATTACTGTCTGTCTGTTTGATATGGGAGCTCATGAGGTCAGGACTTCCTCCCTATCTGGAAATTGTGAGATCTAAAGGAGTGAATGGCTAATAGCCAAGCCTTTTGGGTTTGGGGGAAACAATGCAGTGCCAGGGCATTGTTGGGGGATCTAATCTCTAATTTCTGGGTAACAAAAGTGCCAAGGTCTCCTAGAAACTCAATCCTATCCTGGACCCAAATCTAGTATCTGTGCTTGGTCCCCAAATACTTAACCCCTGTTATGCTTCACTCACCCGGGCCCCGCAGTGTGCCGCAATCTCCTCAAAAGGTGCCTTCTGGAACTTCTCCACCACCTGTCGCCGCCGTTCACGTTCCTGCTCCTCGACTGCCACGCTGTCCACTGCAGTACAGAGTGCCCAGTCAGCCCTTAGATCCTGCTCCTCTGATGTGGGGGAAGGGCTGGAGGAGATGGGAAGATGGGCAGACCCCTCCAGGGGAGCACCGTCTGTGATTGTGGTGCAGGGTGGTGAGCAGGGCATGGAGGGTGAGGTGCTATTACCTGGCTCCACAGGGCTAAATCTTTTCCTGATTCAGCCCGAGAGCTCAGCCGCTGTCCTTATGAAAGAGTTTGAGAATTAGTTAAGTGGACCCGTAAGCTGGGCTTTTAAAGCCCCAAGTGGTATTACCACTAGGACTCTCAAAGGAAGTTCCTGGAACAGGAAGTACTCTGGCTCTATTCTGAAAGGGACATCAACGATGGAAAAGCCAGACAAGTCACAAAAGACAATAAAAGCTCAGTCCTTATGGCCCAGCAGTCCAAGGTCGTCTAGTTTGAGGCTTCTACATATTCCTTTTGGTATCCAAAATGAGTTAGCAAAAATAGAGATGGTCAAGTATGTTCACACGTTATGCACATTCAGAAAGAACACCCTCAATGACAACAAAAATTAAAACAGTTTGGCATTTGAAAGCATAATTTATTATCAGTTCTTGGAAAAATTCTCTTATTTGGAATAACTTCATTGCCCAATAAGCCAGATAAATGAGTTACTGCTGCATTTTAAGATCTATTGCCAATAAATATTAAATGATGTTTTTAATATCCTTCATTTGTCAGCTTGTTCTTCTGTAACACGACCCACCAAAAAATAGTCACAGTATTTATACAAAATTGCTTTTTACAACTGGCTGGGACCCTCAATTGATTACTTTTTTTTTTAAGTTTATTTATTTTGAGAGCGAGGAGCAAGCAAGAGAGGGGCAGAGAAAGAGGGAGAGAGATCCCAAGCAGGCTCTGAGCTGTCAGCACAGAGCCTTATGGCAGGGCTCAGTCTTACAAACCATGAGATCATGGTCTGAGTTGAAATCAAGAGCGTGACGCTTAACTGACTGAGCCATGCAGGTGCCCCATTGATTACTTTTTTTTTTTTAATGTTTTATTTATTATTGAGAGAGAGATAGAGACAGCGTGAGCAGGGGAGGGTCATAGAGAGAGGGAGTCACAGACTCCAAAGACAGTCTCCAGGCTCTGAGCTAGCTGTAAGCACAGAGCCCAATGCAGGGCTCAAACCCAAGAACCGTGAGATCATGACCTGAGCCGAAGTCAGATGCCCAACCGACTGAGCCACCCAGGTGCACCCCCTACTGATCTCCATCCAGAAAGCAGAATTCCTAACTGCAGCTTTGGTGGTTGTTAGGAGTTCAGATGAAGCTGCCAGCCTCCCTTCACCTCTGTGCTGAACTTGCATCAGGCTGTACGCACCCACGCCTCCCCCAGGACCCAGCCGGCGCATCCCCTCCAACTTACCAATGGCCTTCTTCAGCGTCTCATAGGTGATCTCCTCGGCAGGCACTCGCTGAGGGAGAAGGAACAGAAGTGCTCAGGAAAGCGGAGTGGGGGTGAGGGAGGCAGTCTCGGCCTCCTCAGTTATCTGGCAGCCCCTTTGCTTCTCAAAAGACTGTCCCGATGGGAGGAAACTCCCCCAGGACACCACTTTCTCACCAGGGTCCCCGAACCTCCCCAAGCAGGCAGGCACAGAGCCTGTAAGTGGAGGTGGAAGGTCCCTTCCTCATCAGAGTGCTGACACTCACTTAAAAGAACTCACTGCCCTCCCCCCTAGCTTGTCCCCTTAAGCCCCGTGGGAGGAAAACACTGCGAAATTCAAAAATATCTCCTGAGAATGTAATGGAAAATATTGGCAGCAAGAGGAAGCAGTTGGCAAATATCTCAAATGTAAATTTCAAGAGCTGGATAACATTTTTGAAGACTTAGTATATAAAATTATCTACTGAGGTGATTTGAGTATTTAGTAAAGGTAAGACATGCTGAGGTTGGTCCAAGCACATGGATCCCAGGATCTCAGTTCTCACAGAGCCTATTAAAGGAGGTAGCAAACAATGAACCCAAAGAAGGATACCCCATGGACCACAGCCTCAGGCCAGAGGCTGAAAGTGTTTGAACTAGGTCCCAGGGACTAAGTCCCAGGTAGTCCCCAGTACACTCTGAGCTGCTTGAGGCAGGACCCACGATTCACTCATCTCTCATCACTTAAACATAATATTAAGTGAAAGAAATAGACACAGAAGAGAATGACTTCACTGACATAGAGGCCAAGAAGTGACGTAAGTAAGGCTAGTGGCACCCTTTGGGAAGGGGGTCTCTTGGGCAATGACAACGTTCCATTCCCTGATCTGGGTGTGACTGCACGGGTACATTCCTTGTGTGAAAGTTCACTGAGCTGTCCTTTTCTGATTTGTTTAGTGTTTAATGAACGCTGGAAAGGCCAGAGGTGTACAGTCATTGAAGACTGAGTCTGTGCGGGGCTCTTGGCTGGTCACTCAGTAGAAACGGCACAATCTGTTAGCGTGGGAATTATAAGCCAGAGGCGGCAGTGATCTCTCTGCGGAGTCCTCCTCTCTGCACATCCATCCACACAGCCTCTTGGCACTGACCAGTGTGTGAGATGCTAGGGAACTGTGTGGTGGCAACAGAGAAAAGAAGAAGATCACTGGTCAAGGGCAGGTAGAGAGAGGCTTATGGAGAAGATAGGACACAAGCTGGGCAGAGAAGAGTAGATGGCTCATGGGTGCAAAGGTGCAGAGGAAGGGATTCACACACGGGATTATCAGCAAAGACCTGCAGCTGAAGGGGACCCTGTGGGGGAGACCGAGCAGACCAGCATGTGACACAGTGGCTTCAGCCAGAGAGGAGAGGGAAGTAACATGATCCAGTAGGACCAGCCCAGACTGTAAATGGCTCTGAATGCCAGGTAGCAGGTTGGGGGCTTGACTAAACCCGCATTTATTGATCAACTGCTATGAACTTGGCAGATAAGGGAGCCAGCGCAGGGGTCCGGGTGGGGGGGGGGGGGGGGGATGGTGGGCTGAAAGAAGGTGGGTGGAAAGAAGGGTAGCCTGGCAGAAAGTCATGGGGTGGAGGCCCCCACACCCCTACTTCAGCTCCCAAGCCACCCCCGAGCCAGGCAGACTCTCCAGGAGGGAAAGGGACCCATTCCGGTGACCCAGGTGACATTAGAGAGCAGGAGGCTCTGTACACAGGCAAGCATTTCCCCTTCTACTTCACTTTACTCCTCGATTCCCGAAGGTCTCTCAGCTCCTGGGAAGGGAGGATCACAGCTCATGCTGTGGTCCTGACACACTGAGGTTCCCTGTCATGCAGCGCCGGAAGCCTCAGAGGACACTTGGTTCAGCCTCATTCCGCTCTTCCAATTAGTGTGAGTCAGAGCCCCCTTCCTTCTATAGGAAAGTTCCAGACAAGTTCCCCAGTGAGAGGAGAGTTGAGAAAGCAGCTGAGGGCGTGGCTGGAGGGAGGCTCGGTCGGGACCCCAATGACTTCTCCTTGCTCCAGAGCGTCTGAGGAAAGGCTCAGGGTTGACGTTGCCCTCCATGGCTCCCCCAGCCCCCAAGGGGCAGTAACTGCCCGGGGCCCTGCCCCACCCCCAACGAGCATCCTTCTCACTTCTTGCTGAAGCTTCCCCACGTCTCCATCAATTCCCTTATGGCAGGAGACACCATTAAACACAGTGTGTTTTGTCTTATGGCTTCAACTCCCTCGTGACCCCTTTCTCCCCCCCTCTGCCCCTCCCCTATTTCCTTCTCATCTGCACAAGTTGGGTATTTCCATTGTGATTCCTTCCTCTCTTTTACTCATGGGCACATCTGCTTTATTTTCTGAGGCAGAAGAAGTACGGGCAGGGGAGATATTGCCAGTTCATTTGAACAGAAGTTAGCTATTCACAGCCCCCAAGAGAAGGTGCAAGAGACATCTTTAAGCCACAACTTGGACTTTAAAAAAGCACCTCTGTTGATTGATCTGGAAGAAACACCATGAAAGCTATTCTCACCCCCATCTCTCCTTGTTAGACCTTTCAATATCCAACGCGGTGCCTGTCTGTCCCCACGGGAATGGGGGATGACTACCAGCAAGCCTTTCAAGAGTGACTTGTGTGACACCGCCATGGGGGTGTGCCTGGGGGGAGCACATACAGTTTCTCCAGATGGAAATGTCTATGATATATATGATGAAGTAAGAAAATGGGCTGCCCGAGGCATTTGCTTTCCCTGCAACTTAAAATGTGTTATGCACTTAAGGAAGCCTGGAACATGGAGCATCTGACTGCACAGGAGACGGGTCCCCTCCCCTTGGGATGCAGGACAGTATATCAAGAAGAGGACACTCACCTCCTCCTTCTCAGGGCTGTTTCTGGATTCCACCTCCACCTGCAGGGAAATGGTTTCTCCAATGCTCTTCCTCTTGGATAAGCGATCCTCATCTGGGAAAGGAAAGCCCAGAAGCTAGAGTTCCCAGGGCTCAGAGCAAGTGGGGATCACACCTCTAGCACCATCTCCCACCTCCCCTGCCCCCACCTTTGCCTGGCCCACAGTCCTTTGAGGGCTCAATATACACCAAGGCTACAGCTGGTTTATTTAGGGCTGCCTGCCTCCTCTGCTCATCTTAGGGTGGTGAGTTCAGCTCTTCTTAGGTTTTGAAATCATCAAGGAGCACACAGGCACTGCCCATGACCAGAAAGCAGACCTCAGCTTGAAAGAGTATCATCCACTCGTAGCACAAGTGGCTCACTGTCATTTGTGAAGCAGTTACTGAAGTGCATTTGCCTTTATAGTTTCACTGACGTCTCACACCAACCCTCTAAGGCAGGTATTGTTAACCTCTTGTTTTACAGTCAAGGAACCAGAAACTCAGAGATGCCAGGAGACTTGTCTCAGATTTTTTAGGAAGTGCACTGCAGAGAACGGGGTCTCTGATTCTACACCACAGCCCACGTGGGCGCTTTCCGCCCCATGGCGCCTCTCCCAGCCATAGCCAGCCTATCTCATGGGCCACTTTCCCCAAGGATCCTGCCCTGAGGAGAGGAGACGGGGGAATCAAGGTGGTCTCACTGCGTCTTTCAGCTCTGGTGTGACATGCGAGGTGCTGGGGAGGCGACAGAAGGGCACACAAGTCCCTCACTCTCACTCCCCCTTCGTGGTGAGGAAGAGCCAGAGGCAGCCTTGGAAGTCCTTGCACAAGCCTCCCACCTGTCAGCTGAGGGATGTAGGGCAGGCAGAGTCTGTCTGAGTTGTAGCCGCTGCCCCCTAGGACCTCACTGATCTTGCTCTGGCGGAAGAGGAGCTCAATCACTGCTCCATCAAGGTTCTGAGACAGCCTGGAATGCAAAGAAGGGAAGAGGCAACCGGAGGGATTTCCTGATGACTCCGTGTTACACAAGGAACACTCATCGTAACAAATGACAGAGAAGCGGAAGGAAAAGAAAACCACCCGCAGTCCCACTTCTCAGAGGCAACATCATTAGGTGCTGCGCAGAATCCCTCAGTCACGTGGTTATCTGCATGCACACACATCACCCCACCCCCTAAGTTCCTATTCTGTGATCGATTTTATCCACCGCCTGCTTCCCATGAACTTGTCTTCCAAAACCTGCTGGGGAAAGGCTGTGGCTCGTAAAGCTGACCCCTATTGTTGGACGTTTGTTTTTTTCCACAATATTTTCCTTGAATTCCTCTGAGGCTCAAGTGACCCCGGCCCCAGACCGCAGTCCGAGAATGCCACCTGGACCGATCCAGTGTCTTGCAGGAACGACTCCTCCAGGATACATGTCCCAGAGGCTCAGCCAAGGCTCCCAGGGGGTACGTCACATCCTCCACAGTGCAACACACTGACCCGGCTCGACGCGTGGATTACGGCCACATGAGGAAGGCCACGCTGGACCCAGGACTTCTGAGCCACAGGCAGGGCCCACTTTCGGCCCTTGAGCCCACAGAGGCCTCAGCCCCTGGCTTCAGACCCCTCCCCTCGCACTCAGCTACCTTGGGTGTCCTTGACCACGGCCCAGGTGGGCTCCTCACCTAGGCCTCTCCACAAACACGTCCTCGGGGAGCATGTACGGAGCCTCTTTCTTCCTGGTCTCTATCACCTGGAGTTGGGAGGAATCACACACAAGAGCTGGGTTTGCTGGGGAGGGGGCCTGGGCACAGGCAAATGACAGCGTAGGGAGAGGGGGCTGGGCACAGGCAAATGACAGCGCGCTCTCCCCAACCGTTGCTTCCTCCCCCAAACTCCCTGGCGGAGCCCTTTACGCTGGGCTCCTGAGGGAGACACTCAGATCCACAGGGGTCCTTAGAGCAGGCGGATGCTCAGGCTGTCCCCAGTGACACATGACACATGTGCATTAAGTGTCCTGCAAGTGCAGGGCCTTAGCCCCCGAGGGACTGTGGTTTTTGGTTCCTGGGCCCTATTTCCGTTTTCTATGAATATGAAAAGGGAGGAGAGGTCATACCAAGCCCACCCCCACCCCACTCCTGGACCTAGGAGTTTCCCTCAGTACCCTTTGCAAATTTTTGACGGGAAAGGTGAGAGTTACTAAGACACAAGCCGGGGAAGGACAGTGGGCGTGCAAGTCTGTGCTGGAGGCGGTGGAGACATGCTGCTGCTATTTTAATGAAGACGACGTCAGGGCATTGCCTTTCCTGCACTCCCTCATCAGCCTGTGCTGGGGGCACAGTGACACAGCACCCTCCCCCCAGTACCCCCAAGCCAGCTGAGACCAGACGTTTCCTGTTTTCTTTCATTTTGCTCATGTAAAGTTAATCCTAGACATTATATCATTCCACCTGTAAATACTTCAGTGGTTTTATTGTTGTTGTTTGCTTTCCTTATTTTGTTTTATTTTTCTTTAAGTTTATTTATTTTGAGAGAGAAAGCAAGGTAGGGGCAGAGAGAGAGGGGAGAGAGAGAATTCCAAGCAGGCTCCACACTGTCAGCACAGAGCCCGATGCTCCATCTCACAAACCATGAGATCATGACCTGAGCTGAAAATAAGAGCTGGACACTTAACCAAGTGAGCCACCCTGGCACCCGTGTTGTTTTGTTTTAAAATTTTTATTTTAATTTTTGAGAGAGAGAAAGCCCACGAGAAGGGGAGGTAGAGAGAGAGAGAGAGGGAGAGAGAGAGAGAGAGAGAGAAAGAGAGAATCCCAAGCAGGTGCCACACTTGGCTCGGAGCCTGATGTGGGGCTCAGTCCCACGACTCTGGGGATCATGATCTTAGCTGAAATCAAGAGTCGAGCACTGAACTGAGCCACTCAGACACCTCTTGTTTTTTTAAGTAGGCTCCATGCCCAGCTTGGAGCCCAATACAGGGTTTTAATTCACAACCCTGAGATTAAGACCTGAGCTGAGATCAAGAGTCAGACGCTCAACTGTCTGAGCCACCCAGGTGTCCCAGTTCTTCAATGTATTTTAAAATGTCTTTTGGGACATGTGATTATAGACTGGGTATTAGTTAGTACCCAGGCATTACTGATAACTTAATTAGGTATGTTAATAGCATGGCAATGATGTAGGAAGGTGTCCATATTTTTTTAGGCAAAATACCAATATATGTTGGGGTGAAGCAACATGATAGCTGAGATTTGCTTTAAAATAAGAAAAGGAAGGGGCGCCTGGGTGGCTCAGTCAGTTAAGCGTCTGACTTCGGCTCAGGTCATGATCTCACGGTTCGTGGGTTTGAGCCCTGTGTCGGGCTCTGTGCTGACAGCTCAGAGCCTGGAGCCTGTTTCAGATTCTGTGTCTCCCTCTCTCTCTGCCCTTCCCCTACTCATGCCTCTCTCTGTCTCTCAAAAATAAATAAATGTTAAAAAAATGTTTTCTTAAAAAGTAGTTTTCATCTCAAATCACATGAGAGGTGTGTGTACCTCTGTCTCTGGGAGTGAGGACGGCACAGAGGGGCAGGAAGTTGAGGTTGGGAGGTAGCAGGTGAAGAAGGGGTATAGGTTCCTGCCTGTGGCCAATGCCACCATGCTGTGTCAGGTCACCAGGAGGAAATGCTGCCTCTAGTAACTTCTCACTGTCCCTAGTTCCTCCGTCAACGCTTCCTCAATGCCTGGACTAAGCACAGGATTCATGCAACTAAGGACAAGTTGTTCTGGGGAAACCCAGGGTCGAGGGTGTCCTGAGCTGTCAGGGTCACGAGGACACCAACCTCATGGATGTGCTGGCAGAAGGCAGGGACCGTTGTGAGCTGGCTGATGAGGTTCAGGTAGGCAGCGCCCAGCGCGTAGAGGGCACAGCGGTTGTACACAGGCAGGTTCTCTTCATTGACCTGGGCCACGTCCTGTGGCAACACAGAGGGGACTTGGGGTTTCTAACTGACAGACTATACTGGTGCCCCCCTTCACCCAACCTCTCCTAACCTTCTTCAGAGGTGGCCTTCTCTAGACTAAGCCTTTTCCAGCATTTGCCCCATAACTTCCTGGGAGACAGAAGGCATCCTCATTAAAGCTGAAGTGTATCATCCCTAGAATGATCCGTGAGCTGGAAGCTCATAAGTACTTGGGTAGAGGGGTGTTGACTTCATTCTCCACTCTGCAGTTCCAGCTTCGGTGACCTTGACTGTCCAAACCCTCATCATTAATCCTACCTCTAGGATGCTGTGTCCTTTAATATAGACCTTGAATGATTCTTGGGGGACCAGGCTGGGTTGCTAAACTAGGTCCATATGTTAAGTTGAAAAAGAAGTGACAGTTACTAGGGATTGGGACACAAAGGAATCTTAAATCCTAGACTGAAGACAATCATGGCAGCTGGATTAGCCTTGCAGGATTCAGGCCCGAGACTGTCCACCACTGAACTCTCAGATTTGCCCTAATTCATGCTCCTAGGGTGGTATATGATGCCCACCTAGTTGCAGGACCCTGGAGACCCTGGTCTTTTGAGTCTGAAGGACCCACCCCAGTTCCCAGTATCCTTGACAGTACACTTCCACCCAGAAAGACTCTAGAAGTCTGAAGCCCTATGTGGTGAAGCATGGCTCTCTTAAGAGTCATGACGGAGGCCTGTTGAATCTTCAGGTCCCTGGGCTTGGGGGTAGAACTAGGAATATGTATTTTTAATAAATGCTTATGGTAATTCTGAAGCACAGCCAGGCTTGGGAGCCAGACGAATCTTTAGACGAAGTTTGCTTTGTCGGGGCTTATGAGCACCCTCTTGGTATTCCTTGGGATCTCATTCAGACCTTCCAAGACTTGAAACACTAGGGGCTAAAGGGTGTTTTTGAAAGGCTAAAGGGTGTTTGTTCCTTGGGTCTCTTTTAGCCTGAGGATAGGCTAAAGCCATGAATGAGGCATTCTTTGGTGGTTTCCCAAACAGAACCATGGCTTATGGTCTCTGGGGGAATGACCAACTAAGGGTGTGGTATTACCGGGCTCTGGGATAGTCGTTGAGCTGCTTCTACTTGGTTCTCTCATGAGTACTTGGCCCAAACTGGTCCCCTGCCCTGGGCCCTACATGCTGCCCACACCAGGTCCCACCTGAACAGCCAGCACCAGGCGGATGAGGTCCACTACCACTTCCTCGTTGGCCAGCTCAATGCTGATGAGCGCCAGCAAGCCGTAGAGCGCCTCGTAGTGCTTCTGTATGTTCGTCTCCTCCTTACAGCTCAGGTAGATGTGTCTGTAGAGCTGCTGGGAGTGCTGGGTGGGGGCAAGGGACAGTGGGCGGGTGGAGACAAGGAGGGCAAGGAAGACCAATCTGCAGGCGGCGCAACAGTTGTGTGTACCCCACCTCCACCCTCAGGGAAAAGATGCTTCTCTCTCTCTCTCTCTTTTAAGTTTCATTTATCTAAGTCATCTCTATACTCAACGTGGAGCTCAAACTCATGACCCCAAGATCAAGAGTCATGCTTTCAACTGAGCCAGCCAGGCACCCCAGGGAGAAGATGGCTTTAAAGCAGACCCCAGTGGAAGCAAATGTGCAGGACACGTTTAAGGAAGGGTCGGGGCAGTGAAACCAGCAATAGAAGCCACTGCGCAAATCCAGCTGCGTATAGAGGTCCACAGCCCAGCCCAGACTGGCTCACCAGCAGTGCTCCAAGCTCTGGCCTTGGTGTTGAGCGTGACCCTGAGGGCTTGGCCCCCTCAAGGGGTCAACTGGTCATCCTGACTAAGCAAACTCAAAGAGAGAGGGACAGGGGGACAGTCAGCACTGACTTGGGGGTTGGGAGGTGGGGGTCCACAGAGCCTGGCCCACCTGGGGTTCCTTGGGTCTTAAGGTCACACTTGCTAACCTTCTTCATGAAGACGGTGTCCTGTCGGGAGCACTTGTCCACTTTCAGCTTCAGGACAGAGATGTCGCTGAGGGTACTGGGAGGGGACACAAGGAGCTAATATGGGAATTGTTCTCTCACCTGGGTGTGACACCTATCGGGAGTCTTCTCCCCCATCACACGCCAACTGGAGGGGAGATGTAGAGAACTCACCTGATGGTAGAGAACTTGTGGCGGTTGCCGTGACGATCAATGAAGCTGATGAGAATCTCTAGAACAAAGAGACGGATCTCTGCGTCCTCCATGAGGGTGGTGGAGAGAAGGCGGTCGAGGAAGTTGCTGGGCAGGGCCGACATCATGTTGTTGCACTGGAAACCTGTGGACACCTGCAAGCGAGCCCAGCATGGCTGCGCTGAGGAACGCTGGCCCTTTCCATGCAGTGAGGGGCAGGGGAGCGGCCCGCAGAAGTGGGGTCTACAGCACCCAACCTCTCTAGCCATCACCCAGTCCAGCTCCCCTTGTCTTCCACCCTAAGCCCTGAACGTCTGTGGCCACTTTTCTGAACATGCCATCAACCACCTAGACAAGTTTTACATTGTAAAAAGCAAGCAAGGGCTAAGCACTAGAGGGGAGCAGGAGCCGGGGAGCCTCGGGACCTAATGTTCCAGCCGTCAGGGCACGGCTGATGAGCCCTCACCAGGAACACAATGTTGCATTGAGAGCACAGACAGTCACAAAGACATGGCGGGACAGTGGAAGAACTTACAGCTGGGCTGAGGGACCAGAACCCACACAAGGGCAGCAACCATTTCATTACATCGCTTCTATGTGGCCATATGGGGGGGAGGGGAACGGCTTCTGAGTAAAGCCAGCAGGCATCAGTAGACACATCACACATGATGTTGTCAAATCATTCAAAAGCAGCAAAACATGTTTACTGTTAAGTCCATTTTGCAAAATGATGCCTTTGGCGATTCAGCAGGCCCTTGAGGATCCAGCAGAGCCTGTGGCATCAACAGTAAACGCCCACTGAAGTGGGTGTGTGGGAGTGCACACCGTCACCTTGATAAGGTACTGGGTGCGACAGGATAAGGAGAGTAACGTCAGCGGAAATGGCAGTACCAGACCGAGGAGGTAACCAGATGTGGGCGGTGTCAGCATGAAAAGCCTTTATAGGGGCGCCTGGGTGGCTTAGTCGGTTAAGCGTCCGACTTTTGCTTGGGTCATGATCTCGCGGTTCGTGGGTTCGAGCCCCGCGTCGGGCTCTGTGCTGACTGCCAGCTCAGAGCCTGGAGCCTGTTTCAGAGTCTGTAACTCCCTCTCTCTCTGACCCTCCCCTGCTCACGCTGTCTCTCTCTCTCTCTCTCTCCTATAAATAAATAAAACATTTAAAAAAAAAAGAAAAGCCTTTATAAAAACCTAGTGGCATGCAAGGCATGGGCTCGGGAGAGGGCAGGCAAGGCGTGAATGGGAGTAAGTGGGCTGTGCAGACTGGCATGGCTGGAACAGAAACTGGGGCTAGGGATCCTTGAGATGGGGAGTCAAGGGAGAGAAAGGCGATGGGATTTTCTTTCTTTAAAAAAAAATTTTTTTTTTTGGTGTGTGTTTATTTTTGAGAAACAGAGCATGAGCAGGAGAGGGGCAGAGAGAGAGAGAGGAAGACACAGAATCCAAAGCAGGCTCAGCACAGAGCCTGACGTGGGGCTTGAACTCACAAACTGTGAGATCATGACCCGGGGTGAGGTCAGACGCTTAACCGACTGAACCACCCAGGTGCCCTGGCGACTGGGATTTTCCACCTTTGGTCTGAGAAGTTTGAAACCTGGAGGCACATCAACTGTAAACTGAGACCTACTATTTGAAAAAGAGCAACATGTGGGGAACAGTATTTCTAGAAAATTCTTCTTGTGGTTGTATTTATGATTGGTGCGGACAGATGGAGATAAGGGCAACTATGAGCATAACCTAGGTGTGAGATGTCCAGAGTTTAGGCAGGACTGAGCGTGAGAATACCTGGGGAGCCTGTTACAAATACGGATTCCAGGACCCCACTCAGACCCACGGCTCAAAGTTTCTAGGGAATCTCTCTATATTTTAACAAGTTGCTCATGGAGATGGCATTTGAGAACAATGAATCTGGACTCCAGTGATGGGTGCAAAGATGTAGACAGGAGAAATGTAAAACACTGATGAAGGGAACGACAGTGGCTGGAGACTGGGATGGGCACAAGTGCTGAGGGGAAAATAGGTGGAAAGGACCCAGGGAAGTACTTAGAAGGGGGAGGAGTGGGAAGGACAGAAACCAATAGATTCTATCCCACTAAAGAGATAATGTTTGAGTGACAAGACAACCAGGAGCTGATGAGGAACCTTTGTGAAAATTAGGAACAGGTGCCCTGCCTGCCTTGGGTGACCCAGGTCTGTGGATGCCCAGACTGCTAGTAAGTTCAACACAGGCTGGATTTAAGGCCCCTATTCACCCTTTTGGTTGGGCATATTCGTGCAGTGCGTAACCTGCACGGCTGTATGTGGTAGCCTTCTCTTGGTCTCTTGGAAGGAGCTGCCTCCTGTACAGACTGAGTAGGAATGCGGACAGGAGAGGCTCACCTGAAGGAGGGATTTCAGCAGCATAATCTGCGTCAGCCGGTTCCTGTTCTCTCTGTAGACCAGAGACACAAATACTCACCAGGATGGTGATGTGGGCGGAGAGCGCACACTTGCCTGCCCCGTTCCCCTTGTGATTAGATTCTCCATAAGGCTTATCTTGTTGAGTTGCCCAGGACAGTTGACTTGCAGAGCCAAGAAGCAGACCAGAGAATTAACGGCTTGCCCCAAAGGTGGGAGGCAGTTACTGGTGGGGCAGCCTAAGGAATTGTTGTGGGGTCCAAGGGCCCCTCTCAAGGCTGCTGAGGGATTTGAGAGTAGAGGGAGAGAAGTGAGGGCAAAACCAGGAAGGTCAAAGTGGAGAAAGGAGTGGCCAGAAAACACAGGGAGGGCAGCTGGGGTGGAATGGGCGGGAGAGGGTTCGGGGGAGAGAGGCTGGTGGCCTTACCCGGTCTTTCCCGTGTCTATGGGATGATGCAGGGAAGGCAGTGGGACCTTGCTCATGATGAAGAGGATCACCTCGGAGCGCTGGTAAGTGGGCAACGTGCTGGCAAAGGACCCTGCAGGGAAGAGATGGAGGAGGGGGTCAGTGCGGGTGAGGCCTGCAGCTGCCAGGGTCTCAGACGAGGAAACTACTGCCCAGAGTGCAGGCTGTGTCTCTGAGGAAGACAAGACGAGCAGAGGGAGAACCTAGATGACTCCAGGGGGCTCTTCCTGACTCCAGTTCCTTCACTTGTTACCGCGCGGTGGTTAGCGTCCCGGGGAGGGAGAGGGGGGCGCCGACAGTGCTAAGCCGGGAAGGCCCTGAAGTGATGGGCTCTACAAGCCGGAGAGGCGGCCGCGTGGCTCTCCCCTTGCGCATCCATGTGCACATCCGTGGCCGTTTCCCTGTCCTCCGTCCTGCCTTTTCTCTTCCTTCTCGCCTCCCCTCCAATCGCTCTAACGGGGAAGCATCAGAGAGGCCCGCCGGGGACTGGGGTGCAGGGAGAGGTCGTTCTGTGCTCTCCCTCAGGCCAGAACCGGGCCAGTCCGTGGGCTGTGCGCGCCGTCGACGGATTCCATTTTCTCCAACGTCCGCGAATAACACGATTTGAGCGGAGGAGCGGGTGACCCTCTAACAGGGCTGCGGCGTGGGCCCTGCGGAGGCCGCCCTCTGCCTCACCCAACCCAGTTGGGACCCAGCGGCGCCGGGTCCCGCCCGCCAGGCCCCGCCCCTCGCCGGGCGCCGCCCACCCAGGCCCCGCCCCTCGCCGGGCCCCGCCCGCCAGCCCCGCCCCTCGCCGGGCACCGCCCACCCAGGCCCCGCCCCTCGCCGGGCACCGCCCACTCAGGCCCCGCCCCGGGCCCCACCTATGGTCTTGATGACGGCCTCCTGGAACATGCGCTCTTCGTGCTCCTTGATGATCTTGGTGCCCAGGCTGAGCGCCCCGTCGTAGCTCCCGGTCAGGGCGTAGTCGATGCTGAGCCGCAGCTGCCTCAGCAGAGTGTTGAACATCTCCAGCACCGTGGGCCCTGAGCACAGCGGGTGGGAGACCCGAGATCCAGGGCTGGAACCGCCCCCGCCTCCCGCCCCGTCTCCCCTGCCCTGCATCCCAGCCAGGGGCTTCTTCTGCCCCCCACCTGCCCTGGCTGACTTCTAAGGAAAACCGGCTCTGACACCTCCCTGCGCTCCCTCGTCCTTTTCTGGAAGGGGAAGCGGCCTCCTGCCAAGGGCGGTTGTTTGTCCTTGGAGGCTTCCCAGCCCCTACGCTGTCACCCAGGCCCCCTTACCGACAGAGCCGGTGGCAGCGATGACGGCAGCTTCCGACAGGACCTCCACGATGCCCGCCCGCACCGTGGCCGCGCTGCGGCTGTTGGCATCCAGGTGGCTCAGGAGCTGCTGGATAACCAGGTGGGAGTGCTGCGGCTGGGGGGAGGAAGACGTGCTGGCCCCAAACAGCAACCCCCACGTGGCCTCTGCGCCAGGGCAGCCCTCGGCTGGGACCCCACGGCCGGGGTGGACAAAAGTGAGGTCCTGAGGCGGGTGGGCACCACCCCGGTTCCTTGTCCTCAGTGCCTCTCTCTTGGTCCAACAGGAGCCGAACCCTGTCCCAGTGACCACCTGGATTTCCAGAGTTGTCCTGGGCCCTTCCGCCTCAAATGGGTCAAAAGTCAATTTTAAAATACTGTCTTCCGTTTCATCGTTCCCGGGTCCCAGGTCATATGGACAAGGGCCACCTCGGCCACAGGGTTTATTTAGTCCCGGGGCGCACAAAGTGTAGCCCAGTTACATGGGGACAGTACAGCAATTGAGAGTGTTTAGTAAGCAATGCAACGAGGCCATCTGTGGCAGCCAAGTGTGGCCTGGGGGCTTGTATTTTGCATGAGTTTTTCATTTACTTTTTCCAAGAATTCTTACTAATTGTACTTTATAAAGTATTGATCTCTGCCGTACCAGAAAGAAAACCAAACCCGCCCTTCCTCACAGCTGGATTAAGCAGCACAGTTAGACACCCAGAGGCTTAGGAGATGTCACAGAGGACAGCTGGCTTTCTCCTTTGGCGCCCTGTCACGCTCCCAGAGGCGCCCTAGGCCAGGAGGACCAGCTGGACCGGGAGCCACCATACCTGAATCGAGTACATGATGATTTTAAAGCAACGGATGGCGAACACCTTGGGTTCCCAAAGACAGTGGTTGTCTAGATGGCTGTGGGGGAGACAACATGGGGGGATGGCTATGAAATGCAAAGCAATGTTAGGGAGGAGAGACAAGCTTGGGGGCAGAGGGGCCTCCTGAGAGACCCTGTCCCTTACAGAGCTCCCTGGCAGTGAGGGAGGGAAGGGCATGAGGGCCTCCCAGGCAGTCCCACAGCAAGAGCTGGAGGGAAGCCAAGGAACAGAGTTCCACAGCTGTGGACTCAGGAATGAAGCCAGGCACCCAACTTCAGTTTCGGGGGCCTCCTACCCACTCCTCCCCCGACCCTGCACATGGCCCCTGCATGGTGGCTTCTGCTGTCACAGCGCAGGGAATGCAGGCACAGACGAGGGACTGACTCAGCCATGGCACCACCACCACCCCTTTTCCACTCCCTCCGAGTCAGCAAGATGCCAGAACCCCAACGGTTCTCTGAGGGCTGGGGCTGGGGGTGGGGGTCACTCACATGAGAACAGGCTTGATGGCATTTTTGATGTTGCCAAAGGCGGCCCGGCCCAGCAGCTCCCGAAGGCACCTCTCGGCCAGCTCCGCTGGGTTCTCTTTCTCCTTTTCTGGCGCTTGGAGGGGCGAAGGAGAGCGGCTGCGGAAACACACAGCACGTGGGTAAGGGACGGAAGGCAAAGCCGGAGTCGGGTTTTGTGCAGCCTGAGTGTCTGTGCTGCATCCTGCAAGCGGAGAGATAGACAGGAGTCTGATGTGGGCCACAGGAGGTAACGCGGGAGACTTCATGGCTGTCAGAGATTAAACAGGGTCACGAAGCCCAGGGTGGAGGAAGATCAGGGGAGAAGGGGTCAAAGTCTCCTTCTGGGAATCCTTGAGGATGGGCCTGATGTGCCCCGTGGGAAGGACAGATGCCCTGCGCACCATGGGCCTGGGGAGGCACAGACCACGAGTGTCTCCATCCCTCCCAAGCTTGGCAAGGAAAAAGATGGGGAGGCACACCGAGTAAGAGAAAGCAAAAGACAGTGGGAGAGAGGAGGGAGAAAAAAAAAGAGGGAGGGAAGAAAGAAAGGCATGGTGGTTACCCCAGATGTGACTCAGTGTCACAGGGCTGGGCCCAGATCTGGAGAGAAGGAGCCCCAGGTCCCTGGGCCCTGAGACCGCCAGAGACCACAGAGGGAGCATGAGAGTGAGGTGCGATTCCAGGAACAGCCAGCAGAGGGCACACTATTACCCTCCCCTCTGTCCCCGACTCCACAGGCTCAAAGGACAGAGTGAGGACCTTAAACAGCCTCACCCACTTCCCAGATGGACAGCAACACGAGTCTCTCCCTGCATCCCATTTTACAGATGGGAAGAGCGAGGGGTGGGGACAGATGGATCCCATGTCTGAGGGCTCCCAGATTAAAACCCAGTATCTGCAACTTGTGTCCAGTGGCTACTGGCTGGTCAAGCATGTTTTGAGAGCCCGAAATAACAGTAGGAAGTGAGAGAGGAAGGAAGGTCAGGAAGGGAAAGTCCTCAGTAACCGGAGCCATGGAAAGCATTTAAAACCTCCTTGGCCTGCTGCTTTCAGAGAGACAGAGATAACCCGACTCCTGGTTCTCTGTGCTCCTGCCAGCACACACTTACCCCCAGAGAGCCCACCACAGGCACCATCCTTCTTTACGAATGCAGGTTTTAGGGGGCGCGGCAAGCTGCCAGAAGGCCAGACCCAAGGCTCCTAGGGAGCCAGCCTTGGACTCACTGCAGAACAAGTCGCAAAAGCCAAGATCACTGGCCTCTTCGCTGGGCTTTAGCAACCAGCCCAGGCCATGTGGTTCCCAGGCAGATGGAAAAGGCAGGCTGGGGGTGCTGCACGTGTCTGCTGCCCAAGCTCCAGCCTCCCCTGCTTACCTCTCTGCCTCCTCTACATGCTGCAGATTGAAAAGCAGTGACGGGACAATTTTGTCCATGTGCTGCGGGTCCCAGATGTTGGCCTGCAATTCGTCGTTCACCGTCTTCCTCACCACCCCTTGCAGACCTTTGATGCCTGACATTCTGATTCTGTAAGGAAAAGGGCAAATCACACCTCAGGCCCCTGAGAAGCCCTGCATCTGTGGTAAGGAGAGGGGAACGGCATGGGGGGTGGGGTGCATTCGTCCATCCAAAAAGCAGGATGGAGCGCACCTTCTGCCCTTCATGTGACTCAGCCCCTGGCTGGCTGGCTTCCTGTGTGAGTGGATGTGAGCCCAAGAAGCCACAGCCTCTGGCCTCTCCTGGAGATTGCCAGGCCGCCCTTGCCCGCTACCACTTGGGTTTCTTCTCCTCCTCGTTAGCACCCCGCTGGGTTTGTTCTAGCTTGAGCCGAGATGGAAGGGCTCAGAGCACTGCCAAGAACTGATGAAGCAGAATGCAGGGCTATGAGCAAGTTCCGGGGGGAAGGAGGTTTGCAAGGAGAGGCACAGAGCTGCCGGACTCTGGGCACCGAGGTCTCAGCTGGCGCTAAGCGGGCTGAGAAACCAGGAAATCGAGTAACAGCACAGAGGAGGCCCCTTTCACACCCCCCATGCCACTGTGCTGACCCAGGGGCCCTGTGGGCAGCATCCCTTAACTGACTGTGTGTTTCATCCCCAAGTTTCTATTTTTTTTTGTAACCAAACTTCTTTTTCTGATTATAAAATAATACATGCCGATTATAGAAGAGTATAAAGAAGATTTACCCCCATTGTCACCATGCAGAGATAACCATCACTGGCATTTTGGTGTCTTTCCTTTCTTCTGTGCATAATGCGTAACAGAATTAAGAACCTATTGCATCTGTAATCTGTATTGGCTCCCCTGCTCCATAACATTCTATCATAAGCATTTTCCTATTTCACTAACTCTTCATAAACGTGTATGACTACTGTCCTAAGAACTTTCTCAACTAGTCCCCTATTGGTCATTTAAGTTGTTTCTAAATTTTTTGCTACTATAATAACACTATGATAGGTGGCACCATATAAAACACTTAGATATGTTTCAAATCAGAGCCATGAGTGGAATTACTGAATCAAAAGGTAAGAAACGATAGGCTCCCAACATTGCCGTGATGCTCTCCCCACCCCCTGTGGGCCAGCCACAGGAGAATGCCATCTTTACCAGGTGTCGCATCAGTGCTGGGGAGGTCTCACTGTAAACATCTGTGCTAATTTATGCCTCAGAAAAGTAGCTATTTCAGTTCATATTCTTTGAAAAAAAATTTAAAAAATTTTTTTAAATTTTTTAACGTTTATTTTATTTTTGAGACAGAGAGAGACAGAGTATGAGTGGGGGAGGGTCAGAGAGAGAGGGAGACACAGAATCTGAAACAGGCTCCAGGCTCTGAGCTGTCAGCACAGAGCCCGACGCGGGGCTCGAACCCACGGACTGTGAGATCATGACCTGAGCCGAAGTCGGCCGCTCAACCGACTGAGCCACCCAGGTCACCCCCCAATTTTTTTAATGTTTAATTTTTGAGACAGAGAGAGAGAGACAGAGAGAGAGACAGAGCCTAAGCAGGGGGTAGGCAGAGGGAGAGGGAGAATCTGAAGTAGTAGAGGTGGCTACTGTGGGGCCAGTGCTGGGGAGAGGACAAGGGGCTCCCTCCCCCAGGGGCCCCCACTGCCCATCAGGGTAGCACGCTTCCAGAGTCCATGAGTACTTCAAGAGATGGGGACTGGGGAGGCCAGGATACTGCCAACCACTCACACGGTGACCCGTCATTCCACAGGCTCTCAAGCCACGGGAATCGGCAACCTAGGAGATAGAAGGATTCCCTTCCTGTTCCTCCAGCCCAGCCATGGAAGCTGTTGTTTGGGGCACATGGGGCTCCCTCACCCCGCTGATGCACAAAATAGGGTACTCAGGGCCTTCCTGAGGTGCTGGTGTGAGAAAGAAAAATGCCATTGACTGAGTTCTGGAACAAGCGCCTGGAGAACTGGGCTACTGTGGGTGTGCTGGCCACATGTCAACTTTAGCCCTGAAGCTTCTTCCTTCTCTGACTCCTCCAGCCCTTCTCCTTCCTTCCCCCTTCTCCTCCTCCCCCCTTCTCTCTCCTTCCTTGTCTCCTGAGAACATATTTTCTGGTTTCATGTGGCCTCCCCAAGGCGATAACACACCCTTGTGGGCACCTTATCTTCCAAACACAAGGCCTATCACGAAACACCCACTCGCTGCTTCCTCACCTATTTACCACCCCATCGGTCTGATGCCTTATCTTCTGTCTGCACATATTCATGTAAATTCCCTTGTGATTTTATTTGGGTTTTATTTCATCATTGATAAGTGTATTTCTGTGATTTAAATAACTTCATAGGTTTGAGTGTGTGGATGTAAAAGTGTATTCTGTAATTCAAGGTGTTTATCTGAAAGCATTTATTCGGGGTGCCTGGCTGGCTCCGCCAAAAGAGCGTGGGACTCCTGATCTTGGGGTTGTGAGTTCGAGCCACATGTTGGGTGCAGGGACTGCTTAAAAAAATGAGATCTTAAAAAAAAAAAAGAGAAAGCATTCATTCATTCATTTATTCACTCAACAACTGTTTATTGAGTGCTTACCAGTCTCCGGTACTGGTGCTGCATCTCAGATGCAGATGAGAAACAATGATTCTCAACTTCACAGAGCTTACAGTCTGGTGAGGGGACAGGCAATGAGTGAGAAACAATAAGCACATTATGAATCATGTTCATATGAAATGTGTTTGAAGGGGATCATGCTATGGGGGGAAAACCAGAGCAGGGTGAGGGAGAAGAGAAGTGGGTGCGTGGGATGTTCAAGCGAAGACAGGGTTGACTAGAGGTTATTTGGGCAAGGGCTTTCAGGAGGTGAGCAAGCAAGCTAGTCAGATCTACGGAGGCAGCAGTCCAAGCACAGGAACAGATCATGCAAGGGCCCTGTGGTAGGAATGTCCTTGGTACGCCTGTGGGGCAGTGAAAGGGCCTGTGTTACTGTGGGGGAATGAATTGGGGCGAATGTGGAGGAGACAAAGTCAGGATGGCAGCAGAGATCAGTCAATGTGAAGACTTGAGCTTTTTTAAAAACAATTTTGTATGTTTATTTATTTATTTTTGAGAGAGAAAGAGAGCAAGCAGGGGAGGGGCAGAAAGAGAGGGAGACAGAATCCCAAGCAGGCTCCACACTGGCAGTGCAGGGCTCGATATGGGGCTTGAACTCAAGAACTGTGAGATCATGACTTGAGCCAAAACCAAGAGGCGGACATTTAACCAACCAAGTCATCCAGATGTCCCTGAAGACTTGGGCTTTTTATTGGCAGGTATATATTGTGATTGATAGTGGTGAGTGGGTGTATTTCTGGGTGTATAAATGCATGTACTACTGAATGAAAGGGCACAGGTACGTGCATGTGTGTTATGTGTACGCTGTCGCTGGCTCTCAAATTTGGCTCCCAGGACCATTACTTTCCATCTGCTCCTATTTTGTGCCTCAGAAGGTTTTCCCTTGAAAGCATGTGTTGGGAGCCCAACTCTGCCCCCTTGCCCATTTCAGTCCTGACAGGTGCTCTCTTCCTCCCCAGCAACGTCAGAGCAGAGGTAAACACTGATGAAATTGGACAGCAAACTCTGGGCTGGGAACTCTGTAAGACCCATCGATGCTTTTGTCATCAGCTGAGGGGCCCCCTCCCTTCCCCTACTCACTTGGTCTTGATTTCCATGTCATCGTGGCTGGAGTGGCACATTTCACTGAAGCGGGATACAAAGAAGTCATAGCTCCGGTGATAGGACGGGGTGTCCTCCTCGATGTTGGCAAACTTCACAAACTATCCAGGAGGAGAGAAAGAAGAGTACAGGTGAGAGGTGAGCCACTGTGTTCTGCACCTGCGGGCTCTGGGACTTGCCGTCCCCTGGCCCCCTGCCCTACTGAAGCCACGGGACACACACATCCAGGAACCATGCATTCCAGGGTGTGGCTCTGGTCTGCTTCCCAAAGCACACCCGGTCTGCACACTCTATGGGTTCCAAATCCTGCTCGATCTTCCTGTCTACACCACATGACTGGACCCTGTGGCCCTTCTTGGCCCTTCCCTGCTGAGGTGAGCAGAGGTGTCTCCCTTAAGCTCCCACCTCCTTCTGCGTCCAGAGCTGCACCAAACACACGGGGTGGGGGTGGGGGGACAGTTAGGGATCCACAGAAACAGCCAAAGCCAACGCCAAACCGTCTCTCAACCCTTTAGAATGAATTCTGGGGAATCAAGAACAAATCTGAAATGTGATTTAAAAATGTCATTCCATTTTATTGCTTAAAATTTGAGCCCATTTTTTTAAAGTTTGCCCATTCAGTTAAGTCTTGCTCCGCGTTATCAGCTGCTAGATGCTTGCTGCCACATATCCAATTCTAAACAGGGACTTAATTTCAATGGAACCCCACAGAGAAGCAAGGATCATGGACTAAGTGGAGTCAAATTGCTAAAAATTAAGTATAATTCTTATAGGTTATTTTGCTTAATGTTACAAATTTAGTGCTGTGAACAACTCAGAAGGTTATGCTTATAATAAAATCTATTCTCCATTATTCTGTCTTGTGTTGTTATTTCATTTTTACCATCATTTGTTGGTTCTAAAAGGATATGCCATTATTTCCAAAATTATCTAGCTAGTGCACTCATAATATTATTGATTGCCAGTCTATTTCTCTATTTATTTACGAAAATATCTGTTACCTTTTCCTGGATGACAATTAGTAACTTCCACAAACATCATTAGTTATTCTTTCACTAAGAAATGTGCATTTATTTTCTGCTGACTGAGAAAATCTCAATGTACAAGGCAGATAAGGAGATCTTTCTTTCCAAGTTAACATCTAAAATGTTTACATCTATTTGAAAGCGAATATTCTGGTATTAGCAATAAATCCAAATGACACTGCTTGCATTATCGATGTGGTTCTGCACAACGCATCATGGTCATCCGTGTGATCACAAGGTCACTGACTGGACATGAGTTCAAGAAAAACAATCAAGTTAGCCTTTGGCTACATGAACTTTTTTCCCTAATGTTTATTTATTTACTTATATTTGAAAGAGAGAGAGCACAAGTGGGGGAGAGCCAGAAAAAGAGCGGAAGACACAGAATCTGAAGCAGGCTCTGAGCTGTCAGCCCAGAGACCGACACAGGGCTTGAACCCATGAACCATGAGATCAAGACCTAAGCCAAAGTCTGATGCTCGACCGACTGAGCCACTCGGGGGCCCCTGGCTATGTGACCTTCTTCAGACACATCTTAAGTGTCCATCTACTCAAAGGGGACATGCAGCCATCAGAGGTTCTAACTGCAGATCTATCTCTCACTGGTAGTGTGACTTTCCAGTGGGACATTTCACTTCCCTTATGCTCTGGTTTTCCCACAGTCTTCATTCACTAAGATTCTTTATTTTTTAATTTGTACTGTATCTACTTCACATATGATGAGGCAGCTTCAGACATCTTAACCTGAGTGTATGCAAGAGAAAACGCATTTAAAATAGTTAAAGCAAAACTGAAAAAAAAAGAGACCATACCAAAAAAAGAGATATAGTCAAAGATTTTGTCTCTAACATTTACTGATTGCGTAGACTCAAATGTATGTCAGGAGGATGGATGCCCAGACTTCATGTCCACTGGTTTGGGAGTTTGGGGGCCAGCAGTGCCGAGCGTGAGGAAGCTCGAGCACATCGGTACTACCTGAAGCATCTTACACACATCACCTCTTAGACTTCTCAGAATGGCTCTAAGTTACAGAGATTATGGTACAACGGAGTCACAGGGCTCAGCAACCACACAGACTTCTGCCACGTGCCCCAGACATGCTGAGTCACCCTGGGAGGAGCCCCAGGGGTTTACCTTTGAGCAAGGTCCCAGGAAACTTGCCGGGGCAGTCCCCATTTGAGAAATATGGCAGAGCCACTGATGGACAACCTGGGTGTCTGCCACACACACCATCACCGTCTCCCGACACTGATGCCACTCTGGGGCCATTCCTGGTCTCTGTGGGACGTGACGGCCAGTTCCCCTTCACTTCCAACTTTGTCTTCTTCTTCAAAGTGCCATGAAGCCAGGAGCGGGAGGGACAGCGAGCGGGTCAGGAGCACAGCCTGAGCACTTGTTCATGCCTGGTGTCTCTGAGACTGGCCGTTATCCATGCTGTACTGACTGCTAAATATTCTGACCAGTACTCACTGGCTGTCAGGTTAGAGTTGACATTACAATCAATATTTTAAAAATTGAGGAGCGTCTGGGCGGCTCGGTCAGTTAAGTGTTCAATTCTTGATTCCGGCTCAGGTCATAATCCCAAGGTTCATGGGTTCAAGCCCCACATTGGGCTCTGTGTTGCAGTGTGGAACCTGCTTGGGATTCTCTCTCTCTCTGCTCCCCCTCCACTACACTCATGGTCTCTCTCAAAATAAATAAATAAACTTAAAAACACTGAAAATCCATGATGGCTGCTGAGGTAACGCGGGACAGAAAACATGAGTGGGGATTCCTTTTCTACCACCATGGGTGGCCTTCCTCTAGACTGAGCTAACCGTTTCTTCCGAATTGATGCCAACGGCACCAGCGGTTGACCTCCCTCACTCTTCCCTTCTGTGACCGTCGGCGTCCCTCCATGTTTACCCTTCTGCACTCTTCTTCCCCGAAACTTAGTTCTGAGTCTTCTCAAATTTTGCTTTTGACAACACAGTTCTTCCATTTGACTAGACAACGGTTCCCCCTCTGCTGCTGGGGCCACTGTTGGACAGACATCTCCTTGCTCTGCCTCTTGTCATCTGTGTGACAGTGGACAAGTTGTGTAACTTCTGAGCCACGGGTTCCTCGTCTGTAAAGTCGGGACACTAGGACCTATGTCATGGGGTGGTCACTGGGACTAAGCAAGGGGAGGTCTGCAGTGACTAGCACAGCGCCTGACACTGAGGAGTGATCAGGAAACAGTGCTGCCGTGGCCTTGGTGACAGCGGCTGGGTATGGTCTGGTCCATCAGCTCCAGCCACCCCGAGGCCAAGCCCTCCGAAGCACCATTCAGGGACTGAGGTCATTTAGTGCAGTAAGGTGGGACAGAGCACGGCACGCAGGGGCAGGAGGTGGAGGCTGGCATGGGACATCCAGCAGCCATCGCTGCAAGACCAGGAACAAATCGGCGCAACATTGTTTTTCTTCTCTTTCAAACGCATCCGTCATCTCTTAGGAAGGTGAATAAAGTAGAGATAATTAAGAAAATCTCCCTGAGTTCCTGGACAAACGGGAAGTCTGTGAATCCAAGTTTTAATATCAGCAAGGCTCTCATTTCTAAGAGGCATACATTTGTTATGGGTCCTCCAGGATTCAGCACCGCCCAGTCACGGGATGGGTGTCCGCTGGGGCAGTGTACAAATACACACAAGACACCACTCGTTCTGTTTGCTCATCACACCTGACCAGAAAGACAAATTTCAAATATGGTTGTAGTGAAGCTTGTTTGCTCTGGTGTCACTCACACCTTGCTCTGTTGGAAGTTCTCAAAACAGTCAAAAGGCACGGGCCCTAGAAAAAGCTATTTATAGACAGGCATTCGTATCCAGATGGAGCCACCCCAGGCCCAGCGCCCCATCTTTACCGCAGGGTGTGGATGGCAACAGTATGCAAAACAAGCAGCTAACACCCACAATCCAACTTGTAACAACAATAAATATTTCCTTTTATTCCCCCAATTTTTTATTTAAATTCTAGTCAGTTAAGATACAGTGCAATATTGGTTTCAAGAGTAAAATTCAGTGATGCATCACTTACATACAACAGCCAGTGCTCATCACAAGTGCCCTTGTCAATGCGCATCCCCCATCTAGCCCATTCCCCACCCACTCCCCTCCATCAACCCTCAGTTTGTTCTCTATCTTTTTTTTTTTTTAATTTAAATCTTAGTTAACAACATTAAATATTTCTATGGCACCTGCCGCTTACACATCCTATTAGTTTTCTGGGGCCACATCACTCTGAGCTCTGCCTTCTTCTTCATATTGTTTTCTCCTCTGTATCGAATCTCTCTCTGTCTCTCTCTTGTAAGACCCTTGTGACTTATATAAGGCCCACTGGGCTAATCTAGGATAATCTCCCCATTTCAGGATCCTTAGCTTAATCAAACCTGCAGAGACCCTGTGTCCATATAAACCTGTGATGTCCCCAGGTTCCAGGGACTGGCACATGGATGTCCTTCAGTGGGCCATTTGTCAGTCTACCCAAACATGCATTATCTAATGTCGTTTTTGGCAAACCAGTGAGTTTTGCAGGACTATATTGCTCCCATTGTGAAGATGAGGAAACCAAAGCTCTAAGGGAGCAAGTGAATTATTTCAGGTTAACCAGCTTGTGACAAAGTGGGGCTGGCCCTCCAAGCTCCATACTTAGGAATTCTGATACTCTGAGGCTCTTTGCCCTCTACCAGTGGTTTTTATTTTATTTATTTAAAATTTTTTTAATATCTATTTATTTTTGAGAGAGTGCAAGCAGGGGAGGGGCAGAGAGAGGAAGACAGAAGATCCGAAGCAGACTCTGCACTGACAGCAGCGAGCCTAAGGTGGGGCTTGAACTCACGAACCATGAGATCATGACCTGAGCCGATGTTGGACACTCAACTGACTGAGCCACCCAGGCATCCCCACCTGTGTTTTTTAAATTTTTAAAAAAAAATTTTTTTAATGTTTTTTATTTATTTCTAGGAGAGAGAGAGAGAGAGACAGTGTGAGCAGGGGAGGGTCAGAGAGAGAGGGAGTCACAGACTGAAACAGGCTCCAGGCTGAGCTGGCAGTCAGCAC